GGTCAACAGCCGCTCCCTGTTTCAACTGATTCGATCAAACGGTCAAAACAACGTAGATGTCCTGGAAACAATGTGCGGAAAAGACGGAACAGCAATTTACCCTCTCAATCGTCGTTTCGAACGGTGGTCTTAGCACTTCAAAGAACGGTTCAGTTGGTCTCCTTCAACACAACCACTGGAAGAACCCAGTGAACCTGAATAGAACATCTGCACCAACCCACCACCAGCAACCGAGATCCCGCTTTATATATCAATCCTACAGTGCGACAAGGCACCCGCCCGGATGGTCTGCACCCCGAACTCTTCAAAGGTGGTGAGGTTTTGGTGAACAATCTGACAACCATGCTGCAAAAGATTTGGAACAAAACAGAATGCCGGGTGAATGGAGCTCCTCGACCGTCAGCCCAGTCTTCAAAAAGGGCGCAAGAAGCCATGCAAAAACCATCGTGGCACCATCCTGATATCCGTCGCATCTAAGTGCTGCCTGGCATTATTTGTATAGGTTAACCGATTATCGGGAGAGTTTCGTGAGGGCCGAGGGTACATCGACAATATTTCTACATTGGGACGATTTGTTGAACAGCAACACTTGTTCAGACGTTCCACACTGGACGCTTTTTTTATTAGAACGGCGCTTTTGATTCTGTTGATGGCCAGAAACTTTGGTAGTGTCTGGCGCTCAAAGGTGTCCTTTCCAAATTTATATCCCTTATGAGGGCGCTGTATGCGAACTCCTGTGGACGCGCACGAGTATACGGTGAGCTTTCGCTTGGGTTCACCATGTCCAGTGGTGTAAGACAAGGTTACCTTCTCTCACCTTCAGCTTTGTCATTGGTATGCTGCTTGAAATTTCTCTGCCTGCCTCTGAATACTCGGGAGTTGGAATACCCCCGGGACGTTCACTCACAGACATTGAGTTACAGACGATATTGCTCTCCTTGGTTCAAATCCATCCGGAATACAGACGATTTTAAGTAAACTAATTAACTGTCGCACAGTTTGGCATGTGCGGCAGCGTAAACTGCTTCTCCAAGACAGGGTGGGATCAAACCCAAACCTCTTGCTCGCAGACCAGCTAATCGACTTGGTAGATAACTTTGTTTACCTGGGCAGCCGTATAGGTTCCGGTAGACCAACTGGGGATGAGATTATTTCTCGAATCGGAAAATCCGGGTCAGCTTTTGCCAATCAGCATATGGAATATTAAAACAAGAGAATAATAAATAGAGCAACGAATAGAGTACCAGTCATGTACATCACAAAAGCGTCCGCGCGAAAACTTGCACTAATTTTCGGAATCCGACCTGCACTATGGTGAAAGCAGGTTATACGACTACCACCTTTTGTGCGCCGACTACAGTCAGGTGGACCTACAGCAAATCCACCGATTCATTAATGGAAATTTTCACAACCGGCTAAACTTATTAGGCCAGTGGCGGCCGGACGATTAAGTGTTCCATCACTGATCAAATGTCGTGCGTTGGAAACTTGCTGAGTTTCGTGGAATGTGCAGTGCTGATGATCCCAAGTAAGCATGAAACATTGGTAGACGGGTGTGTTCGCTTGTGGTTGACCAGATGACCGTTGATCTGTTCGCCGAGCTTGGCAACTGGCTTGCAAATATTTCGTCCCCATTTCGAGGGGACATCGTCGGTTCGCAGTGTGAAAACAAAATCACCAATTTACTGCAGCGTTTCGATTACTTTCTATGTAAACTTAGTAGTCAGCGCATCCCGGTTAATCAACCACCTCGCTCATCTGTTGTTGGATCAATCTGGGTTGTTGATTCGTAAGATTCAATATCCTCTCTCTCACCAATTGTTCTCGCTGAGTCTGTGCTCGGTGTCAAAGTGTAGGGCAAAAAATAAGCATAAATTCGACATCTCTATTATTTGAAACGTCAGGACAACCACGGTTCGCCATACGGATGCAGTACTGGCTTGTGGCTGGCATTCATGCATCAGTGACCGTTTGTTCAGAACACCGCCAGTCTCCTGTTAGGATACCTAATGAGCCCCAAGAGGGGAAAACCGGTCGTGGGCTGTCGAAGAATTTTCATCAACCTTGTGAGCAGTGTGTTACGTCTATAAAAGATAGCAGCCTTCTTTGGTGTAGGATCCCTTCTCATGGTGTATCATATGGCACCGATAATACGCCGGTTACTAACATGGCTGTTCGCAGCGGCTGGTCAGGCTCTGGTGATGCCTCTTCATGAAAGCGACTACAAAACGGGCTGAAAGTAGCTAAAATGTATTAACTGTTTTATCCCGACTACAAGCTTACTTGGGTCGACCCGGATGGACTGTTTGTCTTCACAATCGTTCGCCAGCATGCGCTCAGCAAAAGAACTTCCGCTTTTTTTTGTCATCCGAAATCGGATGAAGCTTGTCGACTGCAATCATCCGGCCATCCAATCAGCTCTTCACGACAGTGCGAGGGACATGTTTATCGAGATGAGCATACGTTGCTAAACGCAAGTAATCCACAGTCACCATGTGGTCTTCGGAGGTCTAGTCAAGCAGCTGATCTACCTCAACCTGTTTTCGACACTTGGTTGAGCACAAAACCAAAATCTTGTCGTCTGTCTTAGCGTACACCAAGAACGCTAGCATCGGCTTTTTGATCAGGTCCATTGTAAGTTGGACGTATGCACTAACGTGATTCAGCAGACTGCGGTTTGTGAGGGGTGCTGCGCCGTCCATTCCGTCATGTCAAGCTGCACGCAGGAAGTTAGTTTGCGAGATTTACACAATCGAGTAGAGCCTACCCGTTTGTGATTTGAAAGAATGGGGAGTGTGGTCACCTACAAACCGAGCCGTATTGGCTAAAAACAACTGCTTCCATTGCTGTTTTATGGAACGAGCGCTCGAGACACTTTACATTCAACGCGAGAGGGAGTAACAGTCTGCGTCATCGCAAGTCATTCTTGTTCGCCAGGCTCAAACAAGACTCGACAGTGCAAAATGGTCTCTGGGTCACTTGATTCACATTACCTTTGTTGTAAAGGGCATGAACATTCACTAAGACGGGCCTTATGTTGTTATACTTGGTTGATGAACTCAAATCAATTTAACATAAGCTGTAGGACCACAGGGAGAGAACAGTTTAGAAAGAAACATTTACCCAGACCTAGGAAACGAGCTAGCTACGTGTGTAACTCGTGTTAAAGGAGATAGAGCTTCACATACGTAAAAGCTCTTGGATGAAGAACGGGGAACTCGAGAATCCCGGTTTTCTTTAGGTTGTTACTGTGAAAGAATACCAGAAGACTTTTTGAGTGAACTATATAAATACGTGTACTCACAACTGAAGTTCCAAAGGGAGTTACGTTACCTGGTGAGACACTTCCTGTACAACCGCACTTGGATACATTGTTTGCGGACTGCTGGGTCGTGAGGCTGGCTTTGTCTGGTGCCCAAGCAGGCCACTGGAGCGGAATTAGGCCTGACAACACTCGAGCGACAGCTACAACAAGTTCTTGCTTCCGGCCAACCTGAAGGTGGCGAGTGCAGTCACTCACACATCGCTTTTTAATTGGATGGTGCGTGCGTGTGCCGATGCTCAGATTCCAAGAGGACACGCGCGACACGATCTCATCCTTAGGGCACTCTTCTTCGCTGGAGCAGCTGACGCTGCTGTACTCCTCAAACTTAGGGTTTTGCCATATCGTCAACATGACAGCAGAACTCCTCAAGATAGGTTCGTCACTCGGGCTTTGTCGTCACGACGAAGCGAAAAGTAGAATCACGAACCGATGGAGATCACCTAGCGACGGTGAATTGCGCACGTAAGACACAAATGGTGGGCGCGTCCACAATAAATCATAGGATCCTGAATTGTCCGCTGCTTTTTCGGAGATACCCACATCTTGCGCTTGGTTAGGGATTCAAAGCACTTACAACGTTGAATACTCGGTTGTGGTGCGCCTTAGAGATTTCTTCCGGTGCACTCGGGAGAAATACTATGTGATTTTGATTGGTTTAGGTAACAAGCCTACCACGTTGGTGGCGGTTTGCACAAAGTCCGTCGAAGTACACGACGAAAGGCTCAAAGTTTTTGATGGCCCAATATCGCCATACCTTCTGGACAAGCTGCTCCGTGTCTCCGAACTTAATTTCAATCTTCTGGGGCTCGAAATGGGCTAAAATCAGTGATCGAGCATCCCCATTCATTGTTTGGGCACGTTCCCACATTCAGTTACGGCTAGCGTATGCCTTGAGATTTCTAACACAACAAATAGCTCCTAGCGGCTAGTCAAGTAGCAAGAATACTACTTTAAGCCATGACGTATTCACTGTTGGGAATGGAGCTACTTTGAAACAGATGCGAAACAACTTCAAAAGTATATTTTGAGGTTGTGGTTTAGTTGTTACTATTTAGTGAGCAGTGAAGTTGCTGTTTTGAATGTTAGTGCACTGTTCACATCTGACGGGGGCAAGGTGGGGGTGAGAATGAGGTTGGTCACAAGATCAGACATGAATGGGTATTTTCGATTTTTATAACTAAATAGAACTAGAGCAAGGCAAAAGAAAGACAGACAGGTAATCGTTCAGCTGTAAGACTTTCGGTGCCTAGCTCCATGTCAAGCGAAGGAAGCACGAGGTCCGAGGTACTTATAGGTTGCGCAACCCTAGACAGCATTAGTCGAGGTGCCGGGTTTGGGTTCGAACCACAAAAGGCTCACGCCTTAAAAATAAGTTATCTCGAACTCAGGAGTAATGCGATCACTCAAGTTGTTGATTGGACACAACCAGATATGGCGGTTTCATCGGCAAACCGGTGGGTCTGCTCTGTAAAGTATCACCTTTCTACCTCTGTCCCTATATTCCCTTTCAGTTGCACCTTTCACTTATCTTGTTTCTCTATTCGACGAGTTTTATCGTCCGTCCCCATCCAGCTCGATGAGAGCGCGATCCAGAACTGAAAACTCAAGAATGCAAATCCACCAACCACATCACCCGAACGCTAGAGTAAAACGAACAATCTAATTCGAAGGCTATCAGCAGGATACATGAATAAAAAGTATGCCGCGATTCAGACCAGACATTTTGGGAGAAAAAATGAGGATACAAACAGCAAGTGTCGAACTTTCAGGTGTAAAAAGGTGGGAAGAAGTTGGTCGATATGGAACTGTAAAAAAGTAGCTGCAATTTCAATAAAAGAACCTGATAGAAAAATAGTTATCTCTGGGAATAAATGTGCGTTATCCATCCTGCGAGTCAAGGTCAATGGTTCCGAGAATTCAGTCGGAATTGAGCCAGGTCGGGCTTCCATCTAGGTAGGGTTTTTGGAAGCCATTCTGGTCATCATCTTGTGAAACAGGCGTCAACAAGCGCAAGTCAGCTGAGAGTAGGGATAAAAATTTGGGGAACATTAGTTACAATGCTGGAAAAAGCCATGTGATTTAGTGACGTGAGCACACATGGAACACTACAGCAACTGACAGTGTATTAACTTGGATGTCCAACTGGTAGTGTATGGCTGGAAGGGAATGACATATTAACCAACTGTCACCTTTCAGTTTATGGATTCCACTCAGAGATCGCTTCATTCCGACCTATCCAGTAAAGATTGAAGTAACTCCTAACCGAAAGATTCGCGAAACGTACTCATACTGTAGATAGACCGACAGGTGTAAACCAAAAAGATATGTTTCAACCACAGTTGTGGAATTCTGATACCAGTTTCAACGAGCACTGAATTTTCGAGTTGCTATTTTAATGCAATCACTGGTGACACGTTAGCATCACAACTCGAGTAGCACAAGGACGGCCATTCAAAACACACCCCAAACACTAAAGATTTGATCGAATGATCGTAGGTTAACCCAATTTAAGTGAATGGTGTAATTTAGAACAGAGTGTCTAAAGATACGAATCTGATACTTGGCACTGTACTTGTAGCCTCGTACAACAACGAGCAGAATTTAAAACACGGGAAACCGTTTCAATTAAGTGGAAAGCTGTTTAGCACCCTGGCCACATTGTGGTGTTTCGTTGGAGGCCATTCTGCAGTTCGAACTTTCAGAGCCATAGAAAAAAAGCTTTCAAACGCGTCACATTGCCGCATTTGGTTACAAGCACGGAGAATAACAAGGCAAAGCCTAAGTGTCATGCTCGAAACGCACTACAGTCACTCAACCATTACAGTTCCACTCTGCAAACTAAGAGGAACAGTCAGCGTGCGCACATTAGCAGTGTGAAAGGTGGTTTTACTTATCAAGGTAAGATATCACTCTTCACACCGTCAAGTTAATTAACCGCCCAATTACGTGAAATTGGAGGCCTATTCTGGGGTTTCACTTATCCAAATAAATGCCTCCACTAAGGAGTGGATTTCTAAAAACATGAAATCCGAGACGCTTCGGTTATCCCTACCAGCATCACACGAAGGGCGAATTGAATCAGTAATAACTAATAGCTAATTACACATCGAGTCAACTCACTCATACATGATTTTCTTACAAACAGCGCAGGATCGTTCAGCGAAAGGTTAGCAAGTCCACATTGCAGCTGATTAAGTTTCGTATCCTTACAATGCGATTGCATTGTTGGAATGACCGTATGTCCGGCAACCGGCGAGTGGGTATGCTTCTCGTGAATGCACCGATCACAAACAACAGACGCCTCATTGGACTCCAGTTGATGCATCACATAATGTAATTGAGCATCGATGGATGCGAGGGAATGGGCCAGTTCACCGCCACCAGAGGGGATCTTTGAATGAAGTGGGGTCGAAGGTTGGCGATGAGAAGAAGGGGTGTGTCTTGTTGCAGGACTAGACCAAGAAGGTGCCGTGTGTCGCGTAACGGACAGTGACCTGTATGGTTTACGAAGAGCAGATGCTTTTAAACTTGTTGAACAGGAGCGAATGGGCCCTTCTCTGATATCGATGACTTCTAGCTTTCCATTAGTGTTAGCTTGAAAATCATAGGCCAATACAGATTCCGAGCTTGGAGAATCGCCCGGAGATAAATGCGCACGTGAAATGACAAGTGAATCATGATTTGACTTGGTTTGTGATGGTCTGGGAGCTCGCACCTGTCTGTCGGAGGCACGTGTAGGTAGTACTGGGGTAGACGTCGTAGAACCGCGTTGCTGCAGAACATATAGACTAGCATCCAGACTGGCCAGCCGTTGCTTGTAAGTTTTGTAGATAAGCTGTGGGACAAAATGCTGCGGTTAATGAAAGTCGCTTGAGAGGGAAACATTAACTAACCAACAACCGTCGATGAGATAACTGATCAATCTGTGTGCCCACAGCAAAATACGCAAATCAACAGAAAGTAGTTGCACTAGCGTGTCAGGTGCAACCATTGATTCCTGCCTGTCGAACGAAAGCTAAGGGGATCACAGTTACCAGGATGGCTACGGTGATAAGGTGCTTGGAGTGGAGAAGTCACAGCTTAAACGTGGGGGGGGGTGTATTCCCCTCAAGAGAGCCACTCTGACTTCGGCCCTCAGGATCTCAAAGAAATTACACAAGTTCCATATTTAAGAGACGTGCTTCCTATTTTCGCAACAGTATATGGAAGAGTGCACAACCCGGGTTGATTGCACAGACAGTCCATGAGCCCATCAAGAATAACTCCCTCCGTCAATCGTTTTGATCAAACTAGACAAAAACATATCACATTTCTGCTAAAACATACCTTAATTCGAAGCATTTTGCGTTGCAAACGGGCCCTCTCCTCGAATAGATGACCGACACCTTCGTTAAAGCCCGGTAGCGTCTCCATTTCCGGAATATGCTTCTCACTATCATCGGTCTTGGCTGGATGCTGTTCCGTGAGCAGTGATCGTCTGATGGATAAAGTTGGCGGTACACAGTTGGGTGATGGCTTACGTGGATTCTCATCAATATGCAATACTGAAGTGGATTTGGCCGTTTCAGACTTTTTGGGTGTGTGGGAATCCATGGAATTCGGGTGCTCCCTGATCGCACTGAGTTGATTCACGGTCAGTGATTGGTCTGCCTTTCTTTCTGTCGGTGATTCACCAAGTTCTGGACAGAATGGCAAGCCGTCAGATTCAGTCGGTTTGGAATCAGGACTAGGAGCAAAGATAACGTGATTATCGGGTTTCGAGAGTGGACTACCTAAGTGACGGACACAATCTTTCGACCGTTGTTGTTGTTGTTTTGGTGTGTTACTGGAATTCCGCAACGGATCAAGAGGCATCCGCTTTGGGGAGCAGAAAAGTGAAAATGAGCGCGTCTGACCAGCTTCCCTTGTCAATAGTGGAGATGGGCGGTCGCAGTTGGATAACAGTGAAGTCCGCAACCTCGTCTGGAGTAATGTTAGGTCACAACTAGTCACATTCTGTCTTGTATCATGCTTGGATGTGTCATTTTGTATTGTGGTCGCTCCCTTATCGTCCGTTTGTGAAGCGGTGGTATGAGTTTCAACATGGCTTGACAGCTGTTGGCTAGCAGTAGAGTGACCGAGTGGAAGAGTTTTAGAACCGGCTGTCAACGAAACAGATGGAACCAATTCACGATATTCCGTCAGCAGCTCTTTCTCTGAGCCAGAAGTCAAGGGGATCTGTGTACACTGACCTTTATCAGTAGAAGTACCCTCACCAAGAAGTGGAGCACTGGCCCAGTCATCCACTTCAGTTGGTTTGAACACATTCGAGTCTGAGTGAAAAGAGAACAGTAGTTGTTCAAGTAAGTGGTTCAGGAATGGACATAAGCGCAGTTTTCATGTTGTCGGCTTTCGAAGTTCATCAAAAGCCTGCAGTGCTATGACAAAAACGAAATCCCACGCCAGATTATACCTGTTTATCCATCAACATATAGGAAATTTGAAGTAGCCTGTGAGAACCACGATGTGTTCTTGTGAGTGACTTGCTATGGATGGTCACCATGATTTTGAAGCGCTGATAATAATGAACTCAAATGGGAACCAGGAGTGCAACCATCCCTCATAGTATGATATCAGGGACCAAAAATTGTGTCACGTATGTAGGCAACGGCCAACACAAGCCTCACGACAGATAATCCAAAAACATGTACAAACACCTATTTAATCATATGCGCCCGTGTTTATTTGAACAGCGTGTTCACTAGAAAGAAATGAGTGCCTTTGTTCTAGCTAACTGTTGAGCCAGTCAGACTACTTCATCACAGATAACAGGCCAGACTATTTATGGAAGTAGTCACCAATTGCCGCGTAAGACCTGAAAAATGCTAATCAACGAGCTTGTACTTCCATCGTTTGTCTATAGTCAGCAATCAGGTGAACGTAGATGGAACCACTTAATTGAATCCTCCGTTAGCAGCTCTGGACTGTTGCGTCTACCGACTTGGATTAGATAGCTGGTGGTAACCCAACACATGTACTCCTACCCAATGATTCCTAATAGGGGTGAGATAATTTGCGTATCTAGGCTTTCTACGTGTGAAAACTACGTTTTGCAAATTCTGAACGAGAGTGCGTGGGTTGACGCGAACGCCGAAACGAGCTATGTGGCAGGTTAGTGGAGGGTACCCTTAATGTCATTGTTTCCATTTCTTGCATAATTCAAGATCAAAGCGATTAGGTAACAACAAACCGCCCCTTAGGAATTAAAATTACCAGAATGAGGAGCCTTCTCTATGTCCCAAGTGGTAGCCGCCGGAGTAGATGTATGTTGGGCGCGAATAGGAACCAGACTAACTCCATCTTGCGCCACTGTTGACACCGATGAACGTCTTGAAGAAGCATCTGATATCGAGTGAGCAATGCAAGTGTTTTCCACATGAAGTCTCTTGTACCTGGCCTGTTCAACCTTCTTGCGATAATATGAGTCCAACGGGTGCTCCCACAAACTCTGGCCGGATGCACTATTATAGTAAAATATTTGATTATTTTCATCCTGAAATCCGAGAGAAACGGGCGAGTGATTCACAGATGAAGTGTGGCAAGCAAAAAAAATTTTCAAACCGTTTCATGTTTCATTTACTCTGAAAACCAAATGTAACTTAATCACGATGACTAAAAGATAGAGAGTGCATGTCATGAGGTGTAGAAGAAATAGCGTCCTCTTTACTAACATGGCAATTCGACTAAAAGATTGAAGTGTGAAGCTCTGCTCGAGCCTAGCTTTTGTGTGGACTACTATGCTGCACTGTATGTGACTAAACTGAAAAAGAATTCTCAAGAACGATCAAAATGTTTCTTTAGTAGGATCTACACGAGGATCCTAGCTACATTCTACTTTGACGAACCGTTGAATAAAGAGCAAGATAGCTCAGTGGTTAGAGCGCGAAGTTAGTGACGAGAAGGTTCGTGGTTCGAATCCGACCTCTGTCTCTCGACCTCTGATCCCGACCTAAAGCTGCCACCTTGACGTGGTGGTCGGGCTTCAGTGCTGCAATGATCACGCGGGCTACACTGGCTGGAACTTCGTTTCACAAGGTGCAACCATGCCAGGAAGGCCAGAGGGGAGCAGCCAGACCAAGAGCAGCGAGACCCCGTACTACGAG